CCCCCCCCACCACCCCCTACTAGTTTGAGGTCCCACTATGCCACAACGCTGCATAAAGTACTACAGAAATGGTGACAAGCCAAAAAAGGGTGCGCTATTGGGGGGCGCTATGTAAGGACCTGCTGTACTTTGGTTTGGAAGCCAGGCAAGCCGCGTTAACGTTGCGCGTTTAACCTGCGCTCAGAAGAAAAAACGCGTGGCGCAACAGCAGTAAGAAACTGTCTGTCAAGAAAAGCGGAGCCAAAACCATCACACCCAACTTTGAAATGGAATAGGGGTTCAACACGGTGCAGTTTCCGCGTGCCTGTCCCCTAACAGCTCCTGCACACGTTCATACGCCCCCCAATACACTTGGCTGGGAGGTGGCGCCCTTTGTATGGCCTCTTCCTCTTTCTTCTTCTGTGACAAGTCTTGCCCCCAATGCGTGTGACGAAACCAACACCCCAATGTTGTTCCCCCCACAGGGGGACCCTGCAACCGAACCGCATTTCCGAAGCCACCCACGTTCCCTCTGGCTGCGCCAGCGGTCGCCAAAACGCGCCCAAATTCCCCCCATTAAGCCCGGCCCCTTGTGGACCCCTCCCCCCGCCCAACCGGCCCTCAAAATCCGGCCTGAGCCCGTGTGGCGCACTGCTTCCCCTGCGCCCCCGGCGCCGACAGCCCCCGCCCGCCCCGCGCCGGAGGGCCGACGCCCCGCCGCCCCCGCGCCCCCGGCCGCGAACCCCAGAGCGACCGTCCCGCCGATTCATCGCGTCGGCGGCCGCATCCCAGGGTCGGATCGGCGGCCCCGCCGAGCGGCCCCGCGGCGAGCCACCCGCGCGGGCCGCATCTGGCCCCCCGGCCCGCAAACGGGAGATGGGCAGGCTGAAGCCCGGCGACCTGACGTGGGCGCGCAACGCCTTTCGGAAGGATGTGCTTTGGCCGGTGGGTGGGGAAGGAAGGGGGGGTGGGTCCAGCGCGGCGGCATCTGCGCCGGCGGGATTTTTCCGGCGGGCTCTGCGCAAGGCGCGCGGCATGGCGGGCGAGGGCGCGGCGGTTGATTGGCGGCCGGGTCGGCGGCCGGTGGTGCTCGCAGGCGAGCGTGGTGGACGCGGAGCGGGACGCGCCGGAGAGCGTGCGGAAGAACGCCGTGCAGGGGCGGGTCTGCGTCATGTACTACGGCCCATCCGCGGCGCTGGTGAGCGTCGGCCTTGATTGGGGCAGAGCCGGGGTGGCGGGGGCGGGCGCATCGGCCCCCCCGCCCGCCCGTCCGCCCGTCCGCCCGTTGCCCGCTTTTGCCGCCGCGTGTCGGGTGTCGCTGACGGCAGATCCGCCGGCGCACGGCGCCACGCGCGCCGGCGGTTGCCTGTGTGCCCCTCGCAGACCCGCCAGCGGGACTGGTACTGGCAGACCGAGGACGACATCCTGCCGTGGGGGGCGCATTTCGATGAGCTCCAGGTACGCCGGCGAGGGGCGCCCCCCGCGATGCGGCCCGTCGGGGCGGCCACCCGGTCCCTCGCCCCGGCGGCACCATGACGCGGAAACTGCCCGCGCCTCCCGCCGCGCCGCCGCAGCCGGCCGGCGCGGTCGACGATCTCCCCCGCCGGCCGACCGGCCCCGCCGTGGTTGGCCCCCGCGTGCTGGGGATCCGGCCTCGATGCGCGCCCGCCGGCCGGTCGGCCGATCGGTGCCCGCATCCGCGGCCGTCGCCCGCCACGTGACCCTCCTCGTGCCCCCGGGGCTGACGCGCCACGTCCCCGCGAGCCGGCTCGCCGCTGATGCCCCGCTGCCGGCCGTGCCCATCCTTGCAGGGCCAGAGGACCGCGTCACGAGACGTCCTGTCGTTCCGGGAGGCCCTGAAAGAGGTGAGCGGCATCCCGCGCCCGCCGCTTGCCCCCCGAGCCACTGCTCCGTTCGCTTTGAATTGACCGGGTGCGCGCTGCCGGATCGGGCGCGCGGCGCGTGGCCCGCCGCCCACCCGCGCGGGGTTCGGGATCCGATCGGCGGGCCGCGCTCGGTCGGTCGGAACGGGCCCGGAGCGATGCGCGCCGTTTTGGACGCGGCCGGGTTCGGCTGCCCGCCCAACTCCCGAACCGCCCCCCTCTCCCCGGTCCCGCGTCTGCGTTCTGCAGCCTCCGCCTTCCCCTCGGTGGGCTCGCCCTCGCTGCATCGTCAGACGCGCCGTGCGCGCGCGTGTGTGTGCGCAGGCCATCGCCGTCGCCGCAAGCAGCCAACACAACATGGGGCGGCATCCGACGGATGCGCATGTCCAGGTGAGTACGCCCCCCTCCTCCCACCCCACCCCCCTTCGGTTGAGCGTCCCATTCTCCACACCCCATTTTCAGCCCGCCACCGCTGCCTCGAGAATTTGCGCCGCACCCGGGCTCGCTAGAACCGCTCTGAACCCCCCCAAGCCAGGTCGCGGTTTCCACCTGCGCTGCATGATCTGCCCAGTGCCCACCAGGTCTGCAGGCTTGATGCGCTCGCTGCCGGGGTACTCCACACTTCCGGCGCCCATGGCCAGCCATCCTGCACCGCGTGGCGAGTCTCCACCCCCCGCCGCCTCCTCCCCCCCCCACCCGGTCCCCTGCCCTGGTCGTCGCTCGACGTCCCACACGCCGACCCCAATAAACCACCTGCTGACCCTCACCCGCCGCCCGCTCCCCCTTCTGACCCAAAGTACTGGCCCGCCGGCCATTCAAGTCGATGTGGTGAGTCATTCGAATGGCGAGCCTTGCGCTGCCTCGGCCACCAGGCGCAGCCGCTCCGCGTTTCTGGCGCCTTCGACCCAGCCTGCGCCTCCGGTCGCCGACCCCCCGGCCACCTCCTCGCGCCCTCCCCGCCGCCATCGCCTGTTGACCGGTCACCGCAGTCGGCACGCCGATTTCAAACCCTAGCGCCGGCGTTTGCGCGCCCGCGCATGCCAGCCCAGCGCCGACTCGCCGCGCCCCGGCCGTTTTGGCGCGCATGATGACGCCCGCCTGAGGCCGGGGCGGCCATGGTCTCTCGCGCCATGCCCAGGGGCGGCTCCCGGAGGAGGGCAGCGGCCACGGTGTGCATCATCCCGCGACTTGCGCCCTGCTGTCCTACGCCCCTCCTGCTCGCCCTTCTCCTCAGCCCCTGCAGCAACTTGGCAGTGCTGGAAAACCTGCTTGTGATCGTGCGCTGCTGACGGCATGGGGGCATCGGCATGCGGTGGGGGAGCAGTTAGCGCTGATTGGGGAGCCTGAGCCACCCTGCGGGCTGCGCGCCCAGCTGCCTGTTCCCACGGCTGAGGCGGGTTGCTGGGCCAGCGGAGGTGGACAATGCAGGATCCTGCAGCTGCCCAACGCTGTAAAGCGCTTCCTCTGTTTGGCTGTGGGCGTATCCGCGGGGCTGACCGTTGATCCGTCTGTTGACACCTGCACCTGTGCCTTGCTGAGATACCGCCAATATTTGCCTCTGCCATCCATCCAGCCTGGGGGGCCCTGCGCGTTTGGCGATCTCAACGGTCCGCATGGCACAGCCACCTGTGGACGCCTGCGGGTCTGTCGACCGTTTCGTATCGCTTAGCGGACTTGCGATTGACGGATTTTTGGAATGGCAGGGCACGGGCCCCAGCGGCAGGGCGCGAGGCGTCGTCCATTGCAGCAGCTGCGGGTCCGCCATTCGCGGGGAGGACTCGCCATTGGACCAGAAGGGGCGCTGCGCTTACTGCCACAAGCTCTTTGTGGTGAGCTGGGCGACGCTCAAACCGACCGCCCTTGCCTCCCCCCCAATCTTGGCTCTCAGTTTGGGTGTCCGCGCCTCTGCTGGCCATGTGGCCGCGTTGCCCTGGCGCCTGCCTTGCTGCCTGGATGGCGACTGCCCCTGACCACTTGCCTGCCTTCTTCCACGATCACGTGCCCCTTCTGCTCACTGCATCCCATTCACGATCGGCTCGAATGTTCAATGACGTGCCAGTCGTTAGTACAGTACATTGAGAACAATCTGTTTGACAGGTTCGTGCCCTTTCTTGGAGGAAACGTTGTGCAGCCAGATAGTGCTCACTGTCAGGTTTCATCGAGAAGGGCATACTTTTCCGTTTTTGACTAACACCATCAGAGGAAATTCGGCATGGGTCGCGCTTTATCATATTTTGACCTGGTACATCCGCATGGATTGTTTTCCTGCGCCTTCATGTGTCACTGTTCCACTCAATGCACAACTGAATATTCGGTCGACTGCCCCTTGCAGACGAGAAATTCATCAGACAAGAAGTTCTGCAAGATTTGTACCCACACTCTGATGCAGCCTGGCAAGGATGTGGTGTCCTGCGAGGGCTGTGGCTACAGCATTCATGCAGACTGTGACCCCTGGGCGACGGAGGTCCACAAGGTATAAACCAATGAGTGTTTATCAGATGCAACATGAAGAACAACACACTGGCCACAGCACCTTTCGTATTGAAGTCAGAACATGCAGCAGTGCCACCTTTGCGAATGCTCCACAAGGACCTCGCAATGTTTGGGAAGTAGAACATGCAGCAAGATGCCAAGGTGGGCATCTTGCTGCAGCCCTGTATTCCCTCCAGACCCTGCTCAGGGGCCACAGGCAACGGCTTTGCTTACCAACTTGCGAATCCTCGTCACTACCCTTGGAGACACTAGTCCCGTCTGGTGACAAGGTAGCCTGTGGTGCACTGGTGCCATCCTTGCTCATGTTTGGAAAATGGTTTCTACCATTGAAGGACACTGCAGTGTTGTGGCTCAGTGGTTGTGGCAGTTATGCCCAGCACCTGTGGTGCAAATGGCGTACCAGGAGCGTCGGGCCTCTGGGTTGCCTTGCTCCTCAAAACCGAACACAATTCTTGCATGCTGAGTTCTCACATGTTGCACGTCCAAGAGAGCACGTCTTGGTTGACGATCTGTGAGGCCATCTAATTGCTGATGCAACCGAACAATGAATAGAGCCTTCAGGAAAGAGATATGTGAACACTGGGAGCACACTTGTTGTGGCAGTTGTGGTAGGTTGATCTTCTGCTTGTTGTGTCTTTTCAGGCCATGCATGGCAACAACAGAAGTGTGTATTACTGTCCCACATGCCGAAGGTCGCTGAGCCGTGGCGAGAAACAGAAGATGTTGTACGAGTATGAAGGAATGTTGCGTGAACAGAAACCTGTGCCCCTTCCCAAGACGATGATGGACATCTTTGCTGCTGATTTGCACCAGTACGTGGACCTCCTGCAGAGTTAACTGTGGCTTGAGTGGATGATTTGAGCTGTGAAGGAGCACTTGTCACTAGCATGCTGTTGGAAACGTAGTGGTGGATATGAAGTTGGTGGATTCACTGACAGAGATTTTATGATGCAGTTGTTCGCTCTGAGCTGCCCTTTTGGGTAGCAGGATGGTGCATGTGTTCTGCTGCTGTTCATGAACAAGCAACCTCCTCAGCTGTTAAGTTTGGGTGACCCACAGCATGTCAAAGGTGCACCAAGAAGGACGCTGTTGCCGTGTTGTCCATTCTGTTGCCCACAAACACATCTGGCTATCGAACCCCCACAATCCCAACGAATTGGGGCACTCCCAGGCACGGCACTGCCTGTGGTCTGATTTGCCACTCTGATGTCACTACAAGTAGATCCATTTGTAGTGCATGCGCCCCTGCAAGGTTGTGGTGGCCCATTTCAGCTTCTACCCGACTGTGTACAGAACATACTTGAAATGCTCACGACTTGTCCAAGTTAGACACTGACAGACAGCAAAATGGGAAGCAAATGAAAGTAAATTCGAAAAGAAAAAATTGAAAGCAAATCTTAACCCCGAAGTGGAAAAGAAAGTGGAAATGTGCTTGGCCAACCATTTGTAAAGTGTGTCATGGGATATTGTGAGCAGGCAGTATGTGCGGACACATGGTGAGCTTAAGAACCAAAACCTGGCAGTAATCGTGGAGGAGTGTTGGGCCCTACTCCCCGATGCTGACAGGGGAGAGTATGAAAGGAAGGCACTGCGGCACAAGGAGGATTACCTGAGGCAGAGGGCCCACTACATGCGGGGGCTGGTGGAGTACAAGAGAGTTGCAGAGTCCATTGGCCAGTCAGGTAAGGATGGATGTTGCCCGTCAGGTTCCTTTTGTGCTTCCAAAAGATTGTTACACAGTCAACAGTCCAGGTGCTGCCCGTCCTAACAGAAGAGATGTAGGGATTGTGCTACATCACAAGGCGGAACGCCGTGTGCAGCCGCAGAGATATTTGTATGGAAAGATCCACAGTCTGAAAGGAGCGAAGATTGGAGCTATGTGGCCCACTCTGTGGCCCACTCTGCGGCCCGCACTGTGGCCCGCTCTGCGGCCTGCACTGTGGCCCGTAAAATCAGAATTGAGCAGAATTCGCCAGGGACTTGTTCCAATGAACCGAATCAAGAATATGTGACCTATGTTTGCTCCTGAAAATTCTGACATGGTTGGATTCTATACCTGGGGTGTCTGAGTATTACTGTGTCTCCATCCCATTCGTTAGCATCCACGATATGTGTGTGACCTTGATTCTTGCCCTCTGGAAAAGGCACAAACATTATCCACCTGGCACAGAAATGTTATGAGAGGTAAGCTGGGTATCCCCATGGTGCAATATCCTAGGTGATCAGAACATACCCACCAGGGGAAGCTCAGGATGCTGATGTTGCAGAGGGTGTGCCTGAATTTCATCCATGGTGAGCTTGTGGTGGTGTTTGTCAGAAAGCAGTGGAGTAATTCAAACCTACATCAACAACTTGCCACATATTGTTATTGGCAACTGTGGTCTCGGATTGCCTCAAAGTTTAAAGTGATTGTCCACAGATTGTTAACTAACCCGTCGTTGAAGAACTGTCAACTGAATTACTTGGTCTTTATCTGCCATGGCCAGTGCCCCCAGACCTGGAGCTCACCAACTACCCCACGAAACGCCCACCTAAGCGACGCATGGACTCCCCAATGGAGGGCGGCCGCGATCTCAAGCACCCCTGCAGGCCCTCAGCCTCCTTCCATGCGGCCAAGCCACCCCTGCCCTCGCCGATGCCCAATGGCCCTACTCGGTTTGGCAGCGGAGGCCTGAGGGGCTGGAAAGGGTACCCGCCAGGCGTCAACCAGAGCCAGGGGTCAGCATTCTCTGTGTTTGGGTCTGGCTCCAGGCCTAGCAAGATGGCAAAGGTGAAGGAAGAGAGGGTAGAGGTGAAGAGTGAGGATTCGGGCGATGAGAAGGACTCAATGGATTGGGAGGAAAAACTCCAGGGTCGGCCACGTGGCCACAGAGATAGTAAGAGGGCGGCAGGGCAGCAGGATGACAAACTGCTCCAAGAGGTGAAATTCGCTGTCTTGCAAGCTGGAAATTTCAAACTTAAGAAATGTGTGGATGTTGTGTTACTCAAGTATCTAGAATATAAGGCACACCGTTGAATGGAGCACTCTGGAATGTATGGCTCCTCAAGAGTGAGAGTTTCTGTGTGTCTCCTTTCGTGATATTTTCCCATGTTATTGGAGATAATGCAAGAGTCTGCAAGAAATGTTCTCCTGCTCTGTGTTTGGGCATGTTCTGCATGCTTCACCACAGGTGCAGTGACCTCATCCCTTGATTGCATCTGATTGCAAAGAGTCAACAAGGGCAGTCTTCACGCTGTGTTGCTGGGCTGGGTAGCTACTTGGACACCGGCAACAGCCACTTTCGATTTGATGTGTTCATTGTTCAATTGTGGATATGGCCACTTCCAGGTTGCCACTGTTCTGGCCCTGGGCATCCTTTCAGCCCATGGACGACGATTGTGTGCATAGTTCGGTCTGCACAGATGATGTTCAGTGAGTTGGAATATGGAGATTGAGCAAACTGTTGATCCGATTGTTGGAGATGAGATTTTACAAGTCCTGGGGCAAATTTGCACTATCTGGCTAGGACCAACATGCAAGCTTCAAGTTCTAGGCACCGTGCAATTTTCAAAGTTTGGGATATCTTGCACGCACACTTCTGATCGTGCGGTTTGGTAATTTGGGTGATGGTCCATTACTCTGTGCACGCGCCTTACTTAAAACAAGTCACCTTGCTTGAATCCAGGGACATGAAGTCAGGAAGCAGGGTCCGTTAACATACCCTGGTTCGTTTTGGTTAAGGGCAACCAATGCATCAAGGGTACATTCAATTGGGCTGCACATATTTGAGGGTCATAATAGTTGGCTGTGTTTGTCTGGTTTGGAATGACAGATCCCCATTGTGTGCAACTCCACTGGGGGCATTTTCCTACTGGGCCTTCAGAAGGTCATCTGCGGCTGCTCCGCCTGCTCAGCGAAGCCTGAGCCACAGCGAGAGTTCACAGCCACGCAGTTTGAGCAGCATTGTGGCGCAGGCTCAGCGAAAAAGTGGAAGTCGTCATTGAGGGTGAAGCCTGGAGCACTGCCGGAAGTGCCAAAAGGTGTGGTTAAGATCAGGTTTCAGAGCATTGCATTTGTGCTCCTCTTTGCTCAATGCCAGTTTTGGAGGAGTGTGTTGTGGGAAGAGTTTGATGTGATAAATTGTGCGATGTGGGAAGAGCATTTTGTGAATGGCGAAATAGACGTGCAGTGAGTGCGCAATGAATGCTTGTCATGTGGAGCACGTCAAGCACCTGGTCTGTTTGAACTCCACCGTGGACATGGCGATGGTCTGTCCGAATGAGCTTAAGTGCTGAGCTTGGCAAACTGGAACTATCGGTATGTGCAAAAGTTTGAGATCAAGGCTGGTTGTTCGTTGACTGAGTGTTTGCACGCATCACGGGTGCAGATGCACCGCCTTTGCCGATTGGCAAATGGCTGGAGTTGAAGGGGATCGAGACAAAGGCTTCCAGGGCTGCTAAAAGCGGGCCCCATCCTGTGCCAGAGAAGACTGATCAGGCTGCCCTTGCAACTGCGCGAAAGAACATCAAAACAGAGAAACGGACAGTGAACGGGAAGGTGAAGGTGGAGAAGCCAGAGCCTGAGAAATTCGAGCCCTGGCAGCAGGTCCTGAGAGGTGGCTTCAGCACAATTAAGGTAGGCTTCCCAACGTTGCTGCAAGCCAAAATAGCACTTCCAAACTGCTGAGGTCCCTCTTGAAGTGGCCAGTCTCAGAATAGGCATCACACTGCCAAGGGGATTGTGTTGTGATGATGCCCATCCTGCGGCTCGATCGTGTGCTCTGGTCTCTGGGGGTGTTTTGAAAGTGGGAGCCTGCTGGATTGGAGCAGGTGAGTGGTTCTGTGGCAGTTTATGTCTCTGGGGTGCTGATAGGCATGGCCAGTGTCAGAAAACTATGGTTTGCATTTGAGTCAGGTAGTTTCTATCCTGTAGAATATTGAATCACCTGTTCTGAGGGGACAGGCAGTGGAAAAAGTAGGATGTGCACAGCATACACGAGCGCAAGGCAGCACTCGAAATACGGTCACGATGACTCTATTGGGATCCGCTTGTGATTCTGCTCACACCACATTTCGATGGCTTCCAGTTGTATTGTGTTGATCAGCAAGGATAGGAATTGTGTAGAACTGCCAATTTTTTTGCCAGTGAAGTGGAACTCCAGATGCAATGATGCAGGCTGCTGTTGCAATAGCTATTTCCAAAATCAGCTTCGAACTTGCTCCTTGCTGCTAGCAGCACACCCCACCATGGATGCATTGAAGCGTACTGCGCTATGTGCTGTGTGCGACAGGTGCGCTATGCAGGAGACCGATGCGCGGTGTGCGATGGTGACGTTGACTACGACTGCGATCAGCTAATCACATGTGATGCATGTGGTATCACCGTCCACCAGACATGCTACGGCATCCCAGCACCTCCAGAGAACAACGACGTTTGGCTGTGCGACAAGTGCCAAAAGCATGAGGACAGCAGCTCATTTCCACAGTGCTGCTTGTGCCCTGTGGATGGCGGTGCTCTGAAGCAGACTGACATTCCAGGCCTGTGGTGCCATGTGGCATGCATGCAGTGGATTCCTGAGGTGCGCATAGGAGTGTTCGTGCCAGTGTTGAAGTCTGCCTTGTGTTCTTTTGGGGGGTTTGGGTACACTAATAACTGCAAGGTTTATGGCTTCCAACAGAATGAACACAGCAGCTGATTCAATATCCACACAAGGTAGTTTGGATCAAAACACTGATTGTGGATTGGAGTACGAGCAGGCTCAAGCCTGACTCCTGCAGCACATTGTTTTGTGACCGTAATTGATGCTGTGGGAATTTGTTCAGCACAGTACCGTGGAGTCTGTGCATCTGGCACCAGTTGCCAGCACCTATTGCTGCGAATGTATGTCACTGTGCAGCCAATCAAGACGGGGCAAGGTACTGAGCCATTTATTGTTGCTGCCAACAAAGAGCTGGGCGCGTGTAAGCACAGCATTGAAGAAAGTTGGCATCAGTGCATTCAGTGCATTCCCAGGTGCATGGTGGTCTCCATAGACTGCCCATTCAATGTTTGAGTCCTGATGCTGAATACAAGTCGTTCATTTGCAATATCTTGTGACAAGAAACTTTGTTGAAGGAAGATCTATTGAGTAGTGGCTTTGGAAGCAGCAAGCCGTTTGCACTTTAGAGCCATGTGCAGAAGAGTCACATCAGGATGGCGTCTTGCTGCTGCTGGCTCTTCAATTGCTTGTGTCTTGGGGTGGCAAGGCACTCAGCCCGATTGCCTGACACCAATTGGATTATTTTTGCCTCTCCTGTGTGGTTTGCTCTTGTCCACTCGCCACAATGCTCAGGCCCTGCGTGCAATGAGCAGGTCACTGTGGCAGACCCAGTTCACATGGCTCCCATCCGACGCATCCAACACATCCAGAAGGAGCGCTGGGAGCTCACTTGCTGCCTGTGCAAGCAGCGCATGGGTGCCAAGGTGCAGTGTGGGTCTTGCTACTCAGCCTACCACCCGCTGTGCGCCCGCATGGCCGGGCTTCACATGGAGATGCAGGAAGGACCTGGGGGCTTGACGGGGCCACTGCGCCTTGTGACGTACTGCCCCCGCCATTGCAAGCCTCGGCCGGAGCTGGCAGGGATACAGAGGCTGAGGGACGGCCTGGAGGGGGGCTTTGACGAGGAGGGGGTGGCGCTTTGGAATGGACAGCCCTTCAAGCAGCCCCCCGCTGTGCCAGTGCCAGCCCTGGTGGGATGTGCCAGATCGCAGGTGTGTGTCAGCCTGCTGGTGCCGTTTATGTCCATTTAATGGATTGTGCAGCAAGGGCCCCGCAGGGACAGTACATTTGTGCAGTAGTCCTTTTGCAGGAAAATTGTAGCCTTTTGATGTTGGACCTTGAGGTTGCAGGGCACGCTCGCCCAAATTGCGGTTTCAATAGAGGCTACAACAGCAAATACGATACTGGTATCTAGGGCAGTGAATGTGTTCAGCTGTGGTGTAGCAGCACAAAGATATTCAAATGATGTATACCGTAGTGCTACACGTAGATCAGTTTGGCATCTGCCACACGTGTCCGTTTTAATATTAAACTGATAAGCTGCCGGATTACTGGCCCTTTCAAAATACTGTCTGGTACATAGTCACGATTGTCTCAGTTCTTGACGTGACTGATTTTTCAAATTTTCACGTTCCTGTAAAGATGCTCATTCATTCATTCGATTGTCCCGGTTGTGAATGTTTGCTTTGTGTCCCCAAATGCGCTGATTGCTGGGCAATTATGCCAGGCTTTTTGTGGCCAAGCAACTTCCTTGTCATTGCAAGGAATGTTTGAATGTGTCCTGAGGGTAGTGCGAAAATACGACACGTTTGTCACATCACATGTCTTTATTGTGCTTGAGTTGTAAGTTAGTGTGAGGTTTCCAACAGCCTACATATGGCCTCACAATGCTTGGTGGAAACACCCCCAGCCCCTACATCATCAGAGCTCACAAGTATTCTGTTGTGAGGAGACAGAATGATCATGACTGATGCCTTATTTGTGGTACCAGGTACTCTAAATGTGACAGTGAAGTCCGCATAGAAAAATGAAGATGTGACAAATATGACAGTCGAAGAATCTTGTGCACGCAGATTCCCATCAGCCCCATACACATTGCAATTGTTTCTTTTTGATACTGTTTGTCACTGCATTCTACATGTTCTTGAACCTGGGTTGTTGTATCGGCCCAGCCGCTTGTGGATTGGGAGCGGAAATCCCATGGCACGGGGGCAGGCTTCAGTAGCACAACGGCCTTTTGGATACCAGTGCCGCCCAAAACGCCACCTAGGGGAAGCGACCTTGTGCACCGGCCCTTTGGCCGGGCGCCTCGGGAGGGTGGCGGACGCTTCAAGCGCTCAAGGACTGGCTTCCAAAAGGCCCCCCGACTGCCTTCCAAGAAGGAACTGAAGCCTCCTACAGAGCAGGTGTGAAAGTTTGCGGTGTGATTGTGGTATTTGCTGTATGTGCAGTACTCATATTTGTGGTATTTGCGATTTTGGATGTATGAGAATATGCGACGGAGTCTGCAATGGCTGTGTCCAGAACATGACAAGGAACTGACATTGCAACTGAGGATTGATGCTGTGTGCAACCCATCGCCACAATTGCATATCTAAAAGTGTCAGTTTGATTCTGGTCACAACAACTATTTTGACAGTGTGCTGGCCAATGCTGCTGAAGTTGATGTTGGCACTAAAAGGGAACAGAGTTTTCAATTCATTGCAGCAACCAGCAGCGGCCAAGTCCAGCAATTTTACTATTCTTCCTTCCTTCACTATTCTTCCCTTTGGTCCTTGCTCATGGCGCTGCAGTGCTGCTGGCACTCAATGCCAAGTGTGCTGCATGCAATAGTTTGAAAGTATCCCTGCCTGCTCGTCGACCAAATCAAACGAGGTGGATGGTATGGATGGCATGGGGCAAAGAAAACAGGAAGATGTAGACGGGGTGATTTCTGCTGGATGTTTGAGGATGGGTACAATCCAGATAGGAAGAAACACAAGGTGCCACTGAAGAAGGAACAGGCAGCATGACATCAGAATCATCTGATAGGGGAAAAGAGCATGCAAACAGTCTGAATGTTGAGATGCGAGCTGCTTAGAATGAAAGCTAAGGGCACAGTGGCACAGCTGTCGTACAATGGTTCCAGAAAAGAGCATCAACGGGCGGTTGGCTGACCTCTGCAGGTGGACCTTCTTCCGCTGCCCGACGGCATCCCAGAGGAAGTCCCCGTGGAGTGCAACGGCAAGCGAGGTTCGCTGCTGATCCGATCGCAGCGCGTGCTGTATGCCGATGAGGAGATGACCGCCTCGCGATTCGAGCAGCTGTGTGGGAAGGGTGAGGCCAAGAAATGGAAGTGCAGCCTCTGGTACTTGGGACCCTCTGGCTGCCCAGAGCTCCAGATGCATGACTGGCTGGCGATGCATGGGCTTGACCGGAGGATGCTGGCCAACCTTCAGGCACGTCTCTGTGCTTTTTTGGACTGAAACCCTTCCAGACCCATTTCTGACATGTGTTTTAGTGACGCGAGGTGTTGCAGATTTGCCTGGCATTTGAATTCACATTGGCCATCTGGGGCAGTTAGCAGAGGATGGAGGGTTTGAGTGCTGCTTGCCGTAATCGTTGTTTCCTCAATGCTTGGTTGTGTGGTTACCATTGTGGTGTATCCATTTCATGTGCACCACTACCAGATTGCGCAAGATTGACAACGATTCAGAGACTCCTGAGGTTGAGAGGTCTGGTTTGAATGTGTTTGCTGCATGACAAAACTGCACTTTGACAACTATGAGGACATGTAGCCGTTCTGGAGGGGATGCTGTCCCCTGGCTGATTGTGAAGTGTGTGTTGGTTTGCAGTGGCCATCGCACGACAGATGACTCTGCAGTGCATCCTGCTGCACTTGTATTAGTATTGTTCAAGAATGTTTGTGCCCGCTGGTTTGAATCGCACGATTTTTGAGAATTGCTTGGCCTCTTTGGTCATGTTTCAGCGTACATATCTACTGGCCTTGAAATTTCATCGAGCCAGTCCTTGCCAATGCTCCTGTGGGTGAAGGGACTTGTCGCTGCTCACTGGCTTTGACATGTAATATTGTTTTCTTGGTGGATAAATGGATTTCTCTTGGCAGAATGATTGATGAAGGCCCTCCTGTATTATTCACTGGTCATGGGCTGGGATTTAGAGACGATGGACTGTGGTGCAGGCCAACTGGGGCGACTACGAGGCATATCAGCAGCACCAAGAGCAGCAGGTGGGGCTGGTCCTGCAGGAGATGCTGCAGGAGATCTGCGGCGATGACGAGGACGAGGACGAGGAAGAGGACGAGGAAGAGGACGATGTGCCAGTGGCGCTTGAGGCCCACGGGCCGCCAGCTGGCTTGGTCCCCTGTGAGGACTCCCTTGGCGCACTCGCCGACAGCCACGAGTCTGACCACAAGCATGGACAGGATGGGCATGACGCAGTGGAGGATGATGGGGATGCCGACAACGACCAGTCAGAGGGTCAGCCATCGATTGATGGATCCACTGATGTTCACGACACTGAGAACGATGCAGGGGGATCGGGAAGTGAGGGCGGGGGTGACCAAGATGGGCCCTCAGGCATGGGGATGGTGGTGGAGGGTGGTGACGTGACGGAGATGGATGAAATCGATGCTGCGGGCGTCTTGACAAGCCTGACCCACACGTCCTTTGGCAGGGCCCCAAGGAACCTGGTGCCCCGGGAATCTGATGTCGGCTGCCAGCCAGGCTGGGATCTGCCAGAGGTGGATGGCGGGCCAGCAGGCCAGGCGATGGAGGTGGTGCCAGACTCGGAATCGGAGCACGGCGTTGAACAGGTGTCCGTCAGCGAGGGCCATGCTTCAGGCGCGCCAGAGTGCGAGTCTGAAGGGGATGGGCATGATGGCAAAGGAGGCCCACTTGACTCCAAGAGGGCCGTTATGGTGGGTGCTGGGAATGAGTAATGCTTCAGCATAGTTTGTTTCCAGCTATTCTGGTACGTTTCATCGCGTACTTCCTGTGGCCACAAAATCCGGCGCTGAATGCAGATGCGCCTGTTATTGTTACCTGTATTTACCTCCTCTTATCATTGATTTTGTCTTCATTCCTTTTCTTTTTTATTCATTTTTTTGTCTTTTCTTTCGTGTTTTTTCTTTTCTTCTTTTTATTTGGTACACGGTTCATGACAGCGTAGCTGCTGAACAAAAACCCGAGCCAATGAAAACGACAAACAGATTGTGTCACAGTGCCACTGTGCACAGCAATAGGTAGGGACAACATCTGGCATGACAATGTGGTCGGAAAACACTGGCTTGTAAGAGGCACCATGGTATCTGTGTTGTGGCAGTGCAGTATGCCACAATGGCAACGGTAAGAGACTGTGGTGAATGCTCACTGATACAAGAGCACCATTTACCTCAAAAAGGCAACTGCAGCCAAAAAGAAAGGCAGCAGCTGCAGATATGCAGTTGTTCACCATCAGCGAATGCTCAGTGGCAAATTGCAGCGAGCAAGCCAGCCTGCCAGTCTTATGCCTGGTCTTTCACATGCAGCAGACTCCGAAACCCGCCGCCCTGTCCCTCAGACTGGGCACTCGCTCCTGCACCTCTGGGTTGCCAACCTCCCCCGTGCTGCAGTGTGTCATGAGGAGCCGCGTCTCAGGCTTTGATCGCCAGCCCTGTCCGTTCCGCACTGGATCGTCCCCTGGGGCACCTAGCCCTGGCGATGATGCTGAGTACGCAGCATTGGTATCGGGTGTTGGAATGGATGACAGGCGTGGTGTGGGCGAGGAGGTAATCCATCCACCGCAGAATAGGGATAGCGTGGGCGTACGTCTCCCAGATACAACATGTGGCATGTCAGTTTTTTTGGTTAAATTCCATCGCAGCACTTCAACGCCTCCTTCAGTTTTATTGTTTAAGGAACTTTGAGGTGATGTGTATTGCAGTGGTGCAGTGGAACGCTGCACATGTGCATCACGTGCTGCACAGCGGAATGTGGTTTCTTGTCTGGTGCCACTCAGGCATGTGAGGAAATGTCCCAATTCACAACTGTGTCACAATTTCAACTGTTATCGCCTGTGTAGCTCTTTTGTTCAGCTTGGCTATTCTGGCAACTAATCCATGCAATTATGACACTAGGGAATGCCTGTTCTGGGACTGTTAAACATTCGAAGACTGTCGAACATAGGATAACTCCAAACTGAATGTTCTTACTCCTGCTACTTGACTTGATGGCAAATGTCCACTTGATTGTCAGCAACTGCTGATTGTTCAACCTGAGACCCATTCTCTTTTCAACTCCTGCCCTACGATATATCTTCAATTGCCAACTGGACCTGTTGGGCCTGCAGAACGCTGGCATGCACCACTGGGGCTGGCGATCAAAGTGGCTGGACGCTGCAGACAATGGGCCCAAGACGCGATTGAAGTCATTGGAGCAAGGTGGCCAGCGGAGTGGGCTGCGGCTATCCCTGGATCACCCTCAACCCATTGATGGTGGGATCCCTGGGGCCCCCGCGCCCCACACGCCTGCTCTGCGTGATGACCACTTCGATGCTTCAGACTCGCAGGTGCGGAGAGACAAGCCTACTTGGCAAGTGACGGCTATCGGTTTCGAGTGCTTTCTACACAACATAGACGATCTTCCAATCATGGATGAAGGCTGTCAAAGAGCCTGTGAAAATGGAGAGATGTCTCTCTCAACGCCGTATTGCCTGCTTGCTCATGTTGCTGTTTGAGGGGGAAGAAGTGAGGCATTTGCAACAGAATTATTGAATTGTGCCACTGTCATTTCGCTGGTACCAGGTGGTATTTCATGTTATAGCAAAGGTGGTGTGATAATATGATGTGACACATTTTGTGGATCTAATCGTGCGGATGGAGCTGGAGAAGGAGTACATGTGCTGGATGGGTGGGCGTGAAGTTGCATCTAGCTTTGCTGGCTGTTCATTGCATCGCAAATGGGTTTCCTGTCTGGGATATGCAGGACACAGAGTCCATGAACGAGGGAGTTGACGAGGACGAAGCCAGCCACAGCGGCCCTGTTGGGACAGACACGGTGGGCCGGCGTGTGGCGGTGTGGTGGAATGACGACGCAATGTACTACACCGGCACAGTTGACGCCTTTGACAGTCAGCGAGGTGTGAGCCCACACATTTTGCCGGCCTCGGATGAGCAGTCACAGGCGTCTGTACATTGAGCGATGCACGTGATGGGCAAGTGATTGTTTTGCCATGGCAGCAAAATAGCTTTGCTAACTGGAAAGAAGAAGTTTGGTCATTGCCAGGAGACATGTGCCATGCGTGGGCTTCAAAGAGTGTGTCGTTGCTTTCTTGTGGACGGAAATGGATGCTTTGCATACGAAGTAGTGGCACGTACATGTTTGAATCTTGTCAAGGGCGAGTTGGTGGGGAAGATGGTAAGGCCAACCTCAGTGCCCCTTACGTGGCGTAGACTTCAATGTTTGCTATCCTGGTCAGTCTTTGGAGGGCATCTGAGAAACGCTGCAGTCTTCGTTCTGAATTAATGTCTGTTCAGTTGTTAATGTACACCAGTCCCCAAAACCAAGCTGGTAAGAGACTGTTCAGCAAGAAGACCACAGCATTGTTGCAAGGAAGCCTGGGAACTTGTATGTGATCACTGACTGGCGATCAAACCAAGCAACGATTGCAATTGTTCCATGCAACTGGTAAAGTCATCTGCCCGTTGGTTCTGCAGGCTGCCACATCAGATATGACGACGGCGACGAGGAGTGGCTGGACCTCACCCAGGAGCGGGTGCGATGGGGCCCGGGGGAACAGACCAGGGAGCGGCTGTCGCTGCGGCGCCGGAGGCGTGCCCTGGGGGCCCCAGAGGCCTGCCCTTCCACGCCGAAGCAGGTGCCGGAGGTGGTGCAGGTCGTGTGCAACGGCGTGGATGCCCAGTACATCATCAACCGCACGATGGTGAAGACCAGGGACGGCAAGGAGCTGACGCCCACAGAGTTCGAGCGAGTGTCAGGGAAGGGCTCTTCAAAGAAGTGGAAGGTGAGGCTGCGGATGCTGTCTATTTTTAATCCCAAGTGAGGCGGCAGATATAAATGGTCAATGTTTTTGTGTATCTGCTTTGAATACCTGCCATCGAAGATGAGCAAATCATGACAAGATATGCGAAAACAAAGTGATCATTGTAACATGTTTCTCTGGCGAATTCAGATGATTCAACAGCATCATTTTGTTGGCAGTGCACAAGAACCTCACAGCACTATTCGAAAGAATGCACCAGTGGCCATGTCATCGGACCGTACAAGGTGCAAAGGTCCGCAGAAATTGATGCCCTGCATTTGTGCTCTATTTCTTAATTTAACATCATTTTATTTTCTGTATTGCTTTTGCCTATTCTGCTTGTAGCCCTGTTGCTGTCCTTTCATGACAAGCCACCATCCTCACACCATCGGCATTCAAGTGTGGTGCATCCATCAATGCCATTCCACATCCAGCCCCTCGTGCCATCCAGGCTGCTTCTTTGACAGGTGAACTTTGTTTGCTGCAGGCCAGCATTAGAATAGCAAAGGAGGATGGCTCGCCAGGCAAGACTCTGGGAGACTGGCTGGTGGACTGCGGCCTGGACGTCCCACGCACCTCCAAGGCAGTCCGCACTGCCCACGAGGAGGAGCTGGCCGGGCAGAGACGGCAGCGGAAGAGCCCTGGAGAGCGCAGGAAGCCGGTGGGTGGAACCCCAATCTCCTTGGTGGGCCCGCTGCAGACCAACCGTCACGTGGATGACTGGGAACGCCCTTATCTATTACTGCCTGCATCTGTTCTAGTCTGCTGCTTGTTTGTGTGGAGCAAATCGGCAAATTGTCCAGAGGGGGACAAAGAACAGTGCCAATAGCCAATGCCCAGCTAGCGGTCGAAGTCGTGTTGCCCTTTGGAACTCTCCATTTCTCCATCGTTTTCAGGCCTGTCTGTGGTATGGAAAATGAATTCTGATTTCCATTTGTTTGAACTGGTAAGAAAACAGAACACATCAAACAAACCCAGTTTGTTTTCTAACGTTTCTCAGTCCCTTGCTGGAACCTGTTGTGAGCCCAAGATGATGAAACTCTTGAACCGACCTGCTGGACATGTGGATAACGAATGCACAAAATGATATACAATGCAGTCAGACTGCAAAAACTCTGGAAATCAGCATAAGTAACCCTTAACCCCCACTTCCTGCGTCCCAACTCTAGAGTATGGGGCCCTTTGCACACTGCCAACTGGCCCAAGTGACCAAATAAGAGAACAGATGCATTGGGAGGACTGGGGCTGGTGGAGTAAGCCTGATAGCCAGCGCCTTGTGACTAGAGGAGCAAGGGTGGCTTGAGCCACCATTTGCCATCTCATTCACATCACGAGTTGTGCCTTATTGGAGCTTGGCCCGGCCTCACAAGCCCAAAGCGAGTGCTTTTGGGTGCATTATAGTCCTGGGTCTCCAAGGCCCCCAGGCTGTGACCGACGAAACCCCATATACCACCAACAACTCTGCCATCGCAGCACACGCACAGCGAGGTCGTCACATCACTCCCCAACGACGTCACGCTGCACTCAGTCGTCAGGATGTCGTCCACCGATCTGCCACGCCTCCCAACCCGCCTTCCGGCCCCGTCAGCGTTTCCCCCTCCCCACGCTTGCCCGTTCCCTCCTGACGCCACCTTCCCTGTCTTTCGCCCGCGCAGCAACACCGCGCCAACTGCATGTGCATCATCTGCAAGCAGGCCCGGCGGAAGGTGCTCTCCTCGCCGCTGGACGGGCCCCCGCCCACCGCGGCGCCCGCAGCCTGGCGGCCGGCGACCACTGCCGCAGCCACGCGGGCCGTGGGACCTCGCCTGAGGGCGGGCAAGCGGGCCTACATGCGGGCAGTGGCCCAGCTGGTGCGGGGGGCCTCAAGGCACGCCCCCTGGGAGATACCCCAGAGCGAGTGCTGGAGCGGGCGCGAGTGGGAGGCTAGGCAGACGCGCTCCAGGGAGGAGGGCACACCAGAGCCGGCGAAGGAGGAGGGCAGCGAGGAGTCCGGGTGCAGCGGAGGGCCAGGGGGAGCCATGAGCCGGGGGCCGGATGGGCAGGTTCTGCGCAGCAAGATGGAGACATGGCGGGAACAGTTGAGGGTGTGCCAAGCCACAGAGAGGGAGCGGATCACGTTTGGGAAGGTGGGCCGGAGTCTTGGGTCCGATGGGGTCACTTGAGAGCTGTTTTCGGCCTGTTTTGCACCAGGTTGTATCCCACAGGCCTTCGATGTGTTCAAGACATCAATGTGGCAGATGAGGGCAAGGCGATCACCTTCAGCCGTCTGTTGTGCGCAACACCACGCTCAAAAAGATGTCGAATAGTGCTTGATTGTGTTTCGGTGTTGTCAATCATTGGCGAGTACAATTGTTGAATTTAGGGTCTGTAGGCTGTTCATGTGTATGGGGGGATGTGACAAAGTTTGAATGGTTTCAAGTGGGGAGGGCAGTTGTTGTTTTAGTGACAGGTTGGTGAATGTTGCGCAGTGCAATATGCTGGAGTTTCTGTGGACTTGTCAAATTGTGGCACCTGGAAGGTTATAATTTTCATGTTCTGTGTGTATCCCACACCTGCCGTCGACTCAGTGCTGATTCGGGTTTTAGTTAGAGCGAAATCTCGTTGCAAAATTGGCGTACCTGGTTGGTTTACCTGGATACATCCCTGTTTGTGAACAATGCGCTGTATTGACACCATTAAATAGCCCTGTCGTGTGGCTCTGTAACATTGCAGCCGACATTGCAGTGGAAACACCCTCAGAACGTGTTTTCTTGTCTACAGTCCTCCATGCTTCCATGCTTTTGGAAGTAGGCGATGCATATCGTTGCATTTGCATCAAGCACTTCCTTTTGCATGAGCCCCTCATTTTCTGCTTCTTCGTATGTTGACAAGTTCATGTGTCAGACACGGACAGATGTTGTTGCCCCATTACCTTGAGCAAAGGCAAAAAGTGGAGATACTGCAAAAGATGCACAAGTCAATGCGCGGTGCTGTGAGACTGTTGTTACCTTATTTGCAAAATCAAATCAACCTCTCTGGCAATGATGAAACAAGGAAACAAAGGCACAGTTGGGGCTGCCCATGTTTGCATTATTAGTGTACGGTTTGGGTCAGTGAACACAGAATGGACAGAACCAAAAATGTGTACAATAGCCAAGCACTTGTCATTTGTGCGTTTCTAAGGCTACACTATTTTGATACTATCTGTTCACAGTGACCTATGCGATATGTACAAAATATTTGCACATTATGAGGCAAAACAATTGAACTGTAGGACACTAAAATGTTCAAATGCACAACACACTGCAAGTGCGCGATTTTCAGGAACTTGACTTATGCTGAATCAGGAATGAAAACAAGACACAAGTGCAGGAACGGACAAAGGTTATGCCGCCTTGATGGGACGAGTACTGATTGTTGGCACATCTTTGCGCAGTCTGGCATCCACGGGTGGGGCCTATTCGCAAGAAAGGAACTTGCACAGGACAGCATGATCATCGAGTACAGGGGAGATGTGGTGAGCCCTGCCATCGCGGACCTGCGCGAGAACAGCTACCGCAAGGAGGGCAAGGACTGCTACCTCTTCCACATCAACGATGATCTGGTCATTGATGCCACGATGCGAGGTGCCATTGGGAGGTTCACGGTGAGTGGAAGTACTGCGCGCTGAGACGGCAACAATGGATTGTATGGAGGCCAATTGTCAGAATGGCAATGGCGGTGGCGGAGCTTTGCGGGCTGCAAGCGATGATTGTTGACGAGGGCGGAGACAACATGTAAAGTAGAATTTAATGTTTCAGCTGTGGCCCATCGTCACTTTTTATGCGCAGCCACCTTGTTTTGCCTGTGTCTAACGAGCAACTCGTGGCTGAGTAAATGCAACCATTGCAAGGAATTGGAAAACGACGCATTGGTCGTGGCGCATGTCTCCACTGTGCTCAGATCGTCAGACAGCATCAGGTTCCCGAGGACACGAGAGGACCTGAGAATCTTTTTGGCAAAAAGCCCCCATTCACCATATTTGGAGCATTATAATGTACACACTGACCCCTTGGCTGTGCTCATCCCAGAACCATTGCTGCGCCCCCTCCATGTACACCAAGACCCTGGAGGTCGACGGCGAGTACCATCTGTGCTTCTTCGCCCGCACGGACGTCAAAGCCGGCCAGGAACTCACGTACGACTACCGATTCAAGGAGGAGGCAGCGGAAAACAAGATCAAGTGTTTCTGCGGGGCGCCCAATTGCAGGGGTTACATGAATTGATCGGACGGCGGCGGGGCCGTGCGTCAGGGCATGTTTTGGGCCTGTGCAGCAGGTCGGTCAAATCCTTGAATTACAATTGTCAAACGAACTTGACAAAGCTGAGCCCTGGCACCTTACAGGCGATGTTGGGGCGGCAGGTCTCGTCGGCGGGCATTTGCAGGGAGGCTGTGGGGAAGGGTCGACATGGCGCGAGGCGCCATTCGTTCGAATTCTTGCCGAATTGGCTGGCGCAGGGTGCTGCCGCGCATTGGTGACGGATGGAGGTTTGAGGCGCTGTGCGCCTTGGGGTGGGTTTGGGTGGGGAGGGCACTGCAGTGTCGGCGTTGCTGGAGTTGTGCAACTTTGCGTGGGTGGGAAGCGTGGAGGTGTAAGATTGACTTGAGACTCAGGAGAGGGGTGATGGGAAGTTGCTGGGTTGGCAGGGGCCTGCCTTGGTTGACCCTACATTATTGGTTGCTCTGGTGGGCGCAAATTCTTGGACCCGCTCGTTATGTAATTGAATTGGCAGAACTCACCCGCTGGACACTGACTGCGGACGTCAGAGTCTGGCACGTGTGGGGCGATGTGGCAAAGATGCTGCGCTCTGTTCCAACAGGAGTCGTCGCGAAATGGAAACCAGTTGCGCATTGTATGCGGTGGTCTTTGTTCCGCCAAGAATTGCTCCGTCCAGTGGCTTGAGAATGGTTCTGGATAATTGGCATCCAGAAGACTGATGCCACAAGAATCGGTTCGGTGTGCGGCCCTTGGCAGCCCAGCTGTCACGATTGCCAGTGCCGCAACTTAGGACCTACAACCGCCGATCCACGTCACCTCGTCTGCAAGAAAAGAGTCGACAATCACGGAAAAGACACAGCGGCTGGTTTTCATGCCGCTGCACAGCACAGCGTTCCAAATGCAACGTATATCTCACTCTCCTGTGACTCTTCATGACGCCAGCGGGCGGGGAGTGCCACGAGAATGTAGTGGTCCCCACACCTTTTCCGCGAAGGTCCCTTCTTCTGCTGAGGAGGCCAACGTGGGTCAGGGCCACGGTGCCGCGCAGGTGCTCGATGCGGCGCACGTCAGATAGTTGCGGATACACTGCAGCTTCCCGCTTCCTTGGGTATAAGACCCCGCGGCCATTCAGGCCCATGTCGCATCTTCTCTGGGCACCTTCCGTGGGCCAGCAAGTCCAGTCCGTACCATCAGGGGGGGTGACCGTTGGCACGCAGCCCCCCCCCCCCCTCTCCCCCCCCGCCTACAGAGGACCAGCCGGCTATCTTCCGGCTGCGCGGTGCGCACCGATGCGCTGTTGGGAATGCGCATCGTGCGATGCAGGACGTGCGGGATGCACATACGGGATACGGGGCCTTTGCTTCGTCGCGTGGGGGTTCCCGCGCTGGCGGCCCGGCCCGTTCGTCGGGGCGTCCGTTCCGGGACTTCGAGTCGGACGCTCATCGGTGGCTGCCGACCCAGGGCGCCCATGGCGCCGCCAGCAAAGCTGCGCACCGGACCGATGCCGAAACGTTCGTTCGCGGCGGCAACTTGCCGCGATGCCGGCCACAGCTTTCGGATGCGTTCGGCGGCGCCAGTTTGCTCCTCGGCGCCCCCCGCCGCGGGGCCTGCCCGTCCCGGACGGCAAGGCGACTGGCCTCTTCGAGGCGCGTCGGCGGGCGAACGTCGATTGCCGCTCCCGTGCGCCGCTGCTTTCTGGCGACAGCCCCATCTCCGGTCCGGAGGGGAGGTCGGAGTCCACAAATGTTGGCTGCTGCTCGCCCATTTCGTCTGGTTGGCGTCAAATGCTTGCGCAGTGCCGACGCTGCTGTCGCCAACTCTGGTTTTCGATCGCCCGATTCCTCCCTGCATTGCAATGCAATTGCGGCCGCCTGCATTTCAGTGGGGGAGGCCCTTCCGTGTCTTCCTCGCCCAGTCGTGTTTGAGTGGCACCGGTGACAACGAGCAAGCGATCGGTTCTCTTCACGCATTGGGTACCTGGGCCCTGACTCGCCGTGGTCGGTTTCGCAGGCGCCGTTGTCACTGCCAAGATGGGACGTCCGACGACCGCGGCTCTTCTTGGAGTCTTGCTTCTGGTGGCTGCAGGTGACAAACCGCGGATAAGCGGATTAGCAAAATAAGGAGAGCTGTACTATGCGTCAGACGTCCGCTTCCATCACAGCTCGAAAGCGCTGCATGAGTGGCATCAAAGAGACAATGTGCCCCGGATTGCGGCCATCAGCAGAGAATTGCCAAAAAAAGAGTTTTGCAGCGTCATTCCAGATAATTATATCAGTAAAACGTCGTCAGCTATCAGCATACCCCACCCCGCCCGACACACACAATGTTGCGGCCACGATGATAATTGTGGCGAGCGGGTGGGTTCATAGGCACCGTGAAATACTGCGAGATCACTTGTTGCAAGCCCTGCCACAGGATTTTCCTCAAATGAGAGTTGGACAACAGATAATGCCCAACTTGCATTCTCAGCGATTGGATTCGACACAGCACAAGGGAGTCCAACCGTTTTTTCACTGTGAACGACAATCTGATGATTCTGCCCGACGGTTGCGTTTGACAACATTTTGTTGGTAATGCTGATTGCTTCTGATGCCTGTGAAGCAGGGTATGCAGCTGCTCGAATTGACGTCGGGGTGGTGACGAACACCAATTTCACGTGCAACCCCAACAACTACGACTCCAGTGATTGCGGTAGTCAGGTGATCATTGACGCCTTTGGCAGGAGCAGCATAAAGGCCACCAGATCAAAAGCAATCAAGGGATGTCGGAAGGGCTGCAATGTCGGCATCAAGAAAGCAGTGCGCAAGTGTGGCAGAATGTGCATATATTTGTGTGAAGGCGACTGTGCAATATCCCCTCGTTGTAGTTTGTGCCCAGGCGGGTCCCGCGCTGCAAGAGATCAGTGCATTAAGTGGGTGCATGCTGCCAGCTTCCATTGTGAAGAGAACTGCCAGGCAGAATCCGACTTCAACGGAAACTGGAGGGCCGAGTCGCCACTGTCTTCGTCTTTCCATTCCCTTCTTGGTAACTGCTCTCTTATTTAAGACGCGGCTGTGCACTGCGTCGCGCATTCATTCAGAATATGGGAAGCGCGGACTACCGTTGAGGATCGTTGAGGATATATGTTCCTGCCGCACGGGCAACTTGGCCTGTTGCAACAATTGGCTTATGCCATCTCGGGTTTCCAGCACTTAGCGAATGTGGTCTTCAATAGACATCTTGATATATTCCCATAAGCAATCCCGGATCTGCTGGGGGCTTGTGGAACGAAGAGAGGGTGGTGAGCAATGCTCTTTGTCAGGCTATGACACACATAGGATATACATCGTTCTTAAGAAAACAAAGTTGACGAGGCTGGGGGATACCGAGGATTGGCAGCTGTGTTTTGTCGTCGCTACGTGAGCCTTGTCAGTTTGGCAGATTTCACTTTGCAGTTTCGGGAGCAGCGATACTTTTGGGGGTAGTCTTGTTTGACAAGGCAAAGGGAGATTTGGGCGATTTTGGCTGTTGTCATCTCATGCGCGCTCCTGTTATGCCCAAATTGCGTATCGAAATCACTCGCCGTGGATATGATCGTGGCGTATTTCGGAATCCAGAGGCTGCTTTCCCGCATCGCTAAGCTCGAAGATGACATATAATCGCATACAATGTGATCCTGCGTTGAAGCAGCTGCGTTACATGTTGTGCACCCAATCAATGGTTGCCACTGAATTCGGGACGTTAGATACGTATCCCTTTACACAAAAAAAATTGAGCGTTCCTTGCACCAAAGCATCAGCTGCAAAGATGCACTCAGTACCCGTCGACCAGGGGCGCAAAATCGCGGTGGAACAATGTGTCCGCCACATGATCCACCAATCCAGAAATTGGGCCTTCGACCCAACGTTCTGCTCTTTGTCGTCTCCATCAATCAGAAACCGCAACAACCGTTTGTTTTTCCCAAATAGAAAAGGCGAGCTCCTTCGGAAGGATGGCATATGCCACTCACATGCATATGAATTCTCTCTCCGAACACCCCCGTGCCATCCTAGTGCCTTCCGCGATGCAATTCCCCACCGTCGCCATAATGCATTGCACGATTGTTCCCCCACCCCACCCCACCCCACCCCACCCCTGCCCTCCCCACCAACGACTCCCCAATCGAGGGAGACTCGGCGCCCCGTTGACAGGATTCCCTCTCCGCGCAAATAAACGGCCCGCCCTGCCTCCAGGTCACCCTTGGGCCCCTTGGCCCTGGGCGGCAGCACGCGCGATCTGGCAATGCATTCCACGCAGCGATCGCAATGCCCAGTGCTATTGCTAAGCCCCGTCGCGGGTCTCTAGACTCGCTGAGCAGCACAGCCACACACGGAAGGCAACTTCGAGTTTTGGTTTGCCGCTTTGGATTGCAGAAAAGTGCACCATCGCCGCACGGCATCGCATGCGCCCACGGGATCGTACGAAAACAACGAGCACGGTCGGGCGCAGGGCGCCATGGACACGGCTTCAGAACGCCGCGCCTCTACCCCCTGGTTGCGCTCGGGAAGCAGCGCCCGGTTTGGCGAGCGCCTTGTCGGACCCACACCACAGTATCGCCATGGCATCCAGACACACCCGCGACTTGCGAGGCCGCCGCGAAGACGCACTCTTTCGTTCCTGCTTTTTGTCCATTGAAAACGCACTCAATCATCGCGCTGTTGATGTTCTTAATTCCACGGCAATTTGCTCAGCACGTTCTTTGACTGCCGTTTCCTTTGCCGCCGTCGCCGCTGCCAGGGCTGCGCAGCACCGTTGCGAGATTTGGCGTCCTCTCTGCAACCCAGGGAAGCCATTGAGGGGAACCCGTTTCAACCCGTACGTTTGATTCACGAGCCATTGCCACAGCGCATTGCCTTAATCGACCCAAGAGCGCACTCGACACTCTTGACACGTGATTGTCACCCACGGTGCGCTGCGGACGCGATGGTGGAGGTCCGCGCCCCACCCCGTGGTCGCGCTGGAGCACATTCCCCGGCCCGGGCGGGAGG